TCGGCGACTGGTGCAGTCTTAGACGTCAACAAATCCCAGTCCACTGCCACGGCCTACAATACAAGGGGAAAGAAAGGGCGGCTCGTCTCCATCCATGGGAGCCGTGGCCAGCATTGCAGGAAGCACCACCACCAGTGCACCCTTTGGCTAGGAAGCACGCCTTGAGGATGCCGTGGCCTGCCGTCATCCGCTGAATGTGTATGGTCAACAGCGCATCCATGTATATACACAGCTGGACAGTGGTGACTATTCTGGGCAAGTCAAAATAGTCGCTACCCAGCCGTGTATCTCACGTGCGTACATTCTGCTTACCTGCTTTTGTTTCATTACTGACGTTCTTGTTGGAGATATCATGACCGGATTGTCTTCGAGGAGTATAATCAAAGTACCTTCTTCGCATAGTTGCGGATGATTTGTCGTGACCGACCACAGAATCCTGCATCACTACCTAGATACTCCAACTGGGAACACAGCCACAAGATAGGGTTCGCTTCTTTGTCGATGCCCTCATCGTCACTGTATACGGGATTATCGGTTGTGATGCAAACATGAACGATCGTGGGAATTTTCTATTCGACCTATCTTATCTTTTCGGTGATTGCCGGATTATCGATCTGAGTCGACTGTGGGAATGTATTTCTAAAATTCTACTGGACCTTATCCCTGCTAAGCTTATCGTACCTGGAATGCAGGATTTTTTATTCAAATCTGCATTCTCGACGTTAACGTCCTTCCTTCCTCTTCGGAGTATTCCCTCTTCTTCATCTATGATTTCTGGCTCCTTTTCAGCTCACTTTTAAGTCCTTGCCTTCTCTCTATCTCTAGCTAGAGCCCGAGCAGGCACTCGTCTCCGTTATACAACTAACACCCCTTCTTTTCCTCTCTCTCATCAAATTCAAAGCCAATGTTGACGCTCCACGGATTTTATGGCGCTTTCTTAATGTAGTAACCTGGCATGCTATTCGGGTGAACATCCTAGGTGCGTGACTGTCTTGGCTGTAGAGGGCATTCATACCTGACTCTGGCGCGAAGCATGAAGTATTGGTTCGACGACTCGATAAATTCTTCACCTTGTAATTTCTCCGACTCGAGCTTACATGCCTTACCTCCTCTGGCGAAGTCCCATCGGCGTTTCTTCTGATGCCATTTGGATACCGTGCTCGACTGTCAGTTATAGTGACGGTTTCACTGAGAAACCTTAGCTCACCTCACATACTCCCTATGATTGGCTTGGAAGCATGTTGTCTTGGGAAGCAACTTCGCAGAGTTAAGTTTATGTACTCCAAGGTCGCCGCCACCGTGAACGTCACTTCGTTGTCGCCATGGGTCGACTCCCACACTTCTGACTTGTCATTGAATACGATGTATTCATGTGTAAGGGATTACGTCGACTTGAGATAAAGAAATGTCAGTGTCGAGCTGACCTTCATATCGATGTCTTTGGTCATTGGTGCTAGGTGGTACAGGGATCTTAGTGGGTGCACCATTCGTCTCTGAGTATACTCGCTAGTTACTTGCCTCTGGATGTATTCCTTTTTGGAATTCTAAAGCCCCGTTGGATCTTCGAAGTGTGCTTCCCCTTGGCTTTTCCATTTGTCCCACAATATGGTTGATAACTCCCGATATCCTACAATACCTGCGACCCGTCAATATATCACAAATCCTTGATGTATGGTATAAAAATAGGACTCGCTAATGCTGCGCGGATGGGATGGCCCTCACCCAACTGGTACTGGTTTTTGTGCTTCATTCGTTACTATCTAATCCGACTGCTGGGATTGAGGTCAATGAACTCGTGCTCTTCCTCCTGTCTGGCAGAGTTTGTGATGATACGGCCTGTTTTTGTTGCCTCTGGAGGTGCAAAAGGGAAAAAAAAAATAGAAAATTTTCGGTTATTTCCGACTCATTTCCAAATGAGCCCCTCTGCCATCAACCTTACCGGCCCACTATATTTCTGCCATCTATCTGAATTGCTGAGCCTGGGTTACGGGACTAGCCTTATGACACTGCCACGTAAATACAGTTGAAAGGCTGTAATATGCAGTACTGGTTAGAGCGCCCACGGTGATTTCGGTACATATAGCATATACAAGACCCTGACAATAGCGGTGTCAGCGGACAATTCGGAGACTGTGAGGGACTATGTAACTACTGAAGCCGTTTACAAGCCGCAGTCTCCGTCGATCAACAATGTGGTCAACTCTCAGCCTTACTGCACCATCCCACGAGGTCCAAGATACCCCTGATGAACGCCTCGTGCCGGTCTCGCAGGCTCTTGTCGAACGAAAGGTTACCAAAGTTGCAAGTTCATCAAACCTGGAGTCCAGCGAATCGATAGTCATACCTCAAAGCAGCGTATCCGAGTCTGCATACGACTGGTCTAATGTCGAGATGGAGTTCGAAGAAACACTTCCGTCTAGTATAGGACACTACAGAAGGAAGACGTTCATGTCAGTGCTCTTGTTTCACTTGGTTTAATCATAAGTAACATCCAGTAGTCAGAGACGAATCTACTTTTGCAAAATTCGCAGTACCTGCTATGCAAATTGACTTCAACACATATACACGCATCTCGCCTCGAACGTGCGTGTACCATTCAACGAGACCGGCAGGATTTGATTTGTTGTCGTAGCGGAGAGGAAGAGGTTCTGCCTGTGGGCTGGGCGAAGCATACGCATTCAGACGGTAAGCCGTATTTTTATCATGATCAGGATGTGCATCTTTCCAGTTTCATCACGAAATTGAATCTAATATGAGAATTCTTATAGAAAGTAATCACTGAAGAGTGGCTATATGACAAAGTCATTGCCGAGAATGCAGCTAGATACATCAGCGCACTCAAGGACGCAATCTCAAAAAGGGAGGAAGTCTTCCGTCGCGTCAAGTCTTGGCATCTATTCATTGAAATTGCGGAGTACAAGCTGCCTGCTTGGGAAGGTGATGATGGATTGCGTTGTAGATATTACTTTGTCAACCATGATGCGGAGTGCATCTTCTGGCTCTCCAAGTGCATGCTGGACAATTATCTGCTGGAGCTCAGAGGAGAAATGAGCCCGGATTTGATTCGCAGTAAGTTGGCAGCTTGAACACGTTGCGCCGCAAGGCTGACTTATTCTTGAAGGGTATTTACAGAGAGAATACTGGTAATTCTCTTCACATCCTTTGGCGATTGTCGATACCGATATATTTTCCAGGAAACATCATTATTATTTCAGTGAAGTTCACCAACTCACGGAGTCGCAGTGGCAGTGGGTCCAAAAGTCGATCTTACTCGCTAAAACAGGTTATTTACTTCTCTTCATCCCTTCCTTCCAAACGTAATCGTTCTTTTACAGGCGTGATCATGTCCAACACTTCTACCGTGACTTGCGGTATCGAAAATTTGACAACCATGGGCGAGAGCATCGCCTTAGCAGAAGGTAAGACATCCCACTTTTTAAATGGCATTGTCCTCAATGGAGCACGCATCTCAGAATTGGATGCATCCGAAGTGGCAGGCAAGCCTGGTCTATCATATCCACCAGCTGTTTTCACTGAAATAATGTTCAGCAGTGTACATGATAGCTTTGTGTGAGCATCACATCTTGATTTGTTGGTTAGTACCAACTGATTGTAAAAACCAGTACACGATCAAATTCTCAACTATCACGGCCAACGGGATGCTCGAACTGGTCGGGAGGAATCTGTTTACGGATACAATTTTACCAACTGGAAGCGCACCGTTCCGTTCAGGACAATGAACCTCTTGCTATTCTATGCCCCCATTAAACATTATACTTCACTCGATAAGGTCTGGGTGGATAGGCTGATTTCAACGGGGCCGTGGCAGCGTCTCATAGAGCAGATTACAGATAAATGGCAACGGCATGTCGGACTGGTGTGTGTCATCCTTTGATATGCTTTAAGGAAGTGTTATAATATGACACGACTAGGCGACCATCCTTCTTGCGGTTAATATGGCCTTTCTCGCTATACCTTCGGTCGATGAGATGGGTGCGGGTCAGCAGCACCGTTTTGTGACCCAACTTCTATGCTATTTATCTGTCGCTAGTAGCATGGCTACTATCATCCTCGGCCTTATACTCGTGAGCCACCATAACGCCCTGCGGCATGCTGATATTGCAGTTGTGGTGTGCCTGATCTCCTCGTACTTTGATGACAATCTCACCGCCTCACAGACGCATTTCCTGGAGCGACACTGGCAGTATTCTATAGGGTTTGAACGATTATCGATCATGTACAGCACTCCTTACGCACTTCTTATGTGGGGGTAAGTCCAGGATCCTGAGTTTCGTCTCCTTAACTAATGCAGGAGATCAGCATGGTATCTTTTCTGGCATCATTCTTCTCGATGTGTTTGGAATCTGCCAACCCCATTCTACTGAAAGTTTTCGTGGTGTTGGCGTTCTTTTTGGGGACTGTGCTCTGTGCGTGGTGCATTTACCTGTTCTGGGATGATAGTGATCAGTGGATACAGCAATGCTTGAAGTTTTGGCCGGGATCTCTTTCCAGCCCAAAAGACGCGTTGCGTTCAATACTGTCACATGATAACATCCGCCGATTTCGAGATAAGCTCGAGAGGGCAGTCTCAAGGATGACGGAACCCATCTTACCTACGACATCTGGGAGAGCGCTCTGAGATGGAGGTAAATAGAGACTTTCGTACAGTTCGGTCGTTGGTCACTGGTGGAGTGGCTTGAGATAAGACATTCATTCATACATCGTTGTTTCTATGTACAATCATAAATCATAGCTCTGACTGCATCCTAGATCGGTAGTCTGTAGTCTATAGTCTGTAGTGTGCGCGTAACGCTGCTTACTGGTTAGGAATGCAGAAGAGATATTTGCACGTACTGGTAAATTAGCGTATCAAAGTACCCCCTCCGAAGGGTTCCCTACTCCCCTCGAGGTTTCGTACGCAACCCTACCAAGGTCCAACTCTCGAGCCTCAAGTCTCAGCCGGAGACCACCAGTCCACAAAAAGTCTTCCTTCAACTTGACTCTCTGGCTGGGAGTCGAACCCAGCTTTCGTGCGTTAGCTCAACCAAAATAGCTTAGTCCAAATGACAGGCGCGTGTACTAACCAATATACTACCAAAGACACATTGCCAGGTTCAGACTAGTAATAATATAGGTCGAATGTCGTCATGCCTAGCGCTTCAGCCTTTGGGGGCTCGTGTCCACAGACACAGTGGACTTGGATATGGCAGACTGTTATCAAAGCAGTTTTGCTGAGCTCAGCTATCAAGTTTTACCATCTGCCGAGCTCTGTATGGATGATCTGGATGGCGAGCTCTCCTTCTCGGCAAATATCCCAGAGCCCTCCTCATCGAAGTCGGCCTGTCCTCAATCGTATCATCCTCAAGATCGCTGGTCACCAATCCACTAACAAATCCTCACCTTCGCTGTCATGTGCCCTACTTGGGACCCAACCAGATGTTGATATAGTGGTGCTGCGAAGGTCTCAGAGATCGCTATACCATGCACCTCATCTACAAGTGTGCCAATCTCTACTGCGACTTCACAGAGAAGCCGACCCTTAGACCACTCGACTTTCATCACATCAAGGCAATTCTTTTTGCGTCGAGACCTCGACTCCTGGTGCCGGAGACAACCACATAGAATTTCCATCCGGATCGGATTTCTTACCTACGAGCAACGTCAATTTCCTTACACATGCCTTGCAGTGGTTACGTCTATAATTCTCAGGCACTGAAGTCAGACAGTGCTCCAGTCAAAATGCGGAGTCTAGCGAATCGATAGTCTTACCTCAAAGCGGTTCACACGAGTCTACGTACGACTGGTCCAATGACGAGAATGAGTTCCAAGAATTGCTTCCGTCTAGTATAGGACACTACGATAGGAAGACGCTCATGTCAGTGCTCTCTTTTGACTCCGCTTAAAGATAGTTAACATCGCAGTGTTTAGAGACGAATTACCCCAGCCAAATTCACAGCACCTGCCATGCTAACTGACTTCAGTACACATAGACGTATCTCACCTCAAACGTACGTGTACCATTTCATGAGGCCGTCAGAAGTTTCACTCATCGTCATAGTGGAGAAGAAGAAATTCTACCTGCTGGTTGGATGAAGCATACGCATTCAGACGGTAAACTGTATTTTTATCACGATCATGATGTGCGTCTTTATAGTTCGACCGTGGAATTGAATCTGAGAATTCTTATAGAAAGTAATTACCGAAGAGTGGTTATACGATAGAGCTATTGCCGAGAAGATAGCCAGATACATCACCATACTCAAGGACGCCATTTCGAAAAGGGCGGAAGCCTTCGGTCGCGTCAAATCTTGGCATCTATACATAGAAATTGTGGAGTACGAGCTACCTGCTTGGGAAGGTGATGAGCGATTGCGTTGTAGATATTACTTTGTCAACCATGATGCAGAGTGCATCTTCTGGCTCTCCAAGTGTACACTTGATGATTATCTGTTCGAGCTCAGAAGAGACATGAGCCCGAATTTGATTCACAGTAAGTTGGCAGCTTGAACACATTTTCAGCGCTGCAAGGCTGACTTATTCTTGAAGGGTATTTACAAAGCGAATACTGGTAATTCTCTTCACATCCTTTGGTGATTGCCGATAGCGATATATTTCCCAGGAAACATCATTATTATTTCAGCGAAGTTCACCAACTCACGGGATCGCAGTGGATTTTAGTCCAAAAATGCATTTTACTTACTGAAACAGGGTAGTTCTTTCTCTTTGTCCTTTGCCATCTGCGATGTAGAACTCGGCTCTTCTTTTCCAGATGTAACCATGTCCGCAACTTCAACCGTTTCTTGCAGTATTGGCAAACTGAAAACTATGAACAAAAGCATCATCTCCAACCTATCCTGACTGGTAAATTTAATTTTCCCAGTAGTTATCGGGGAAGCGTGAGTACAATTTCCCCAATAACTATAGTAGGGCTGTCAGTCAGCGTTTCACGTCGCAACCGGTGATAGGATCATGTGTCATCTCTGATTACATTTTTCCATGCAATCTATCCCCTTTACTTCCCTGGCCACGTATTACAATAATCTTGTACCATTAAAAAAGTAGATACATTTAGTATTTGAATAGATATAATCAACAATAAAAATATGTGCATGTGGGCGGGCACAGCGGCCTGTAGGTGTCGATGATGGTCATTGCTATCAGGTATGGTTGACAATGGGGATTGTGAGGACATTGATGCACTGCCGAAAAGGGTGAGACATGCAGCCGAATGTGGACACACAATGGTGATGACGTCATATGGTGAGGGAAAGAAGCACAAAAGAAGCGGCACAGCCACCCGATCACTCCGCGGTTTCACGGGCCGGAGCAATTGAGCAAGTGGAATACATGCTCGGGATCCTTCCTTTGCTTGATTTATCCTTTCTATGGTCCCAAAAATTGGTAGAATATAGTATTATTGCAGTGTAGAGCATACATATATAGTTTTTTGTGCATGAAATACATTCCAGCCTTGATTAATATGTGTTTCAAGGATGATAAACCGCATTTTGGGCCATTTCTTACACGGTATATCTGTTTTATGCAGTTCCGCATACCATCACAAAGGTCCAGATGAAGTGCTTATGCTTTATTTTGTCCAAACATCCATCCAATCTACACAAATCCACTTGTACAAGCCTTGTTATTCACTTTACTGCTTGGAAAATGTATGTTCATGTTCTCCTTTGGTGCACTTTCGTCTGATCATCTCACCAAAAGAAAATAATGTGCCGGAAGCTCAGGGCAGGTGTCTTTTCAGATATATACCACCAAGAATAGGTGATGTACACTTTGATAGACTTTGTATCCTTGTTTGAATGTGTACTGTGGGGTGAAGGATGTGTTACAATTGACATTATTGATATTTATCTTTGAACTAGATACAGAACGGGAATAAAAAGCTGCATATAATATATGAGTACTAATATACACTATCTGTCAAAGATTTAAGGTCTGGAAGAGCTTCATTGACTGAACAGTCGCGATCCATTGGTCACTGCAAGTGATTTAGGGGCTGTCCGGCAAATTCCGGAAACCAGCTCGAGATGTTTTTCTTTCATTGTGACGTAGCTGAAAGCGGACCGATGGGATTAATATGATGCATACAATGGGGATACAGTGGCCGGAGTCGGGCGACGATGAGTGAGGTGGCGGACGGAATCGATATCTGAAGCGTGGGACATACAGTGGCCGGAAGTATAGAATTTATCGGAAACCTGTCAAATATGTAAATACAATTCAAGTCTCCATAACGCATGTATTCTGACACCTTTGATAGTTACTGGAGAAATTGTATTTGACGTTCCCCAGTAGTTACTGGAATAAATTCCATTAAATGGACAGTACAGCCTCTCATCTCAGCAGAAAGTAAGACATCGCACTTTATCAATAGCGTCGGCATCAACGGAATCCACATCTCAGAATTGGACGCCTCTGAAGTGGCAGGCAAGCCTGGTCTATAATATCTGCCACCTCTTTGTGCTGAATTCCCTTCAGCATCGTACATGATGGCTTTGTGTGAGCATCACGTCTTTTTTGTTGTTTAGCACTAACTGATTGTAACGATTAGTACGCGATCAAATCCTGAACTATCACGGTCAACGGAATGTTCGAACTGATCGGGTTGAATCTGTTTACGGATACGATTTTAACAACCAGAAGCGCACCGTTCCATTCAGGATAGCGGACCTATTACTATTCTATGCGCCGATTAAGCACTATACTTCGCTAAGTAAAATCTGGGTGGATAGGCTTGTTTCCAAGACCCAACAAGCTGCCGTTGTAGAGCAGATTATATACAAGTTGAACTTGTCCAACGGAATGGTGCGTATGATTCTTGCCACTCTTTACACTGTACGAAATCTGACGAACATTGTTGCGTACAGGCCACCGTACTTCTAGCAGTTAACATGGCTCTTCTGGCCATACCCTCTGTCGATAATATGGGCGCCCACCAACAACCTTCTGTGACCAAGATTCTCCCCTGTTTCTCTGTTGTCGCTAGCCTGGGCAGCATTATCATTGGTCTCTACCTCATAGGCCACCATGCTACCTTGAAACATGCCGCCTCTTTCCTGGTCTCGTTCTTATGCATGTGTCTGGAGGCTCCAAACCCACGATCGCTCAAAGTTTCCGTCGTCCTCGCTTACCTTTTCATCACTGCGGTTGGTTCGTGGTGTATTCTTTTGGTCTGGGGGGACAGCGACGAATGGATGGAACGATTTTGGGGCTCCCACAGAGGTCTCCCTTCGGACATAAAGAACTCCTTGCATTTGATATTTTCCCGTGAGAATCTATGCCGACTCAGAGACAAGGCTTGGAGGATGGGTTCACGAACAGGGAGGAGCATTTTACCGACAACAGCCAATGGAGAGTAAATCAAAAAGATGCAGTATTTGTGACTTTCTATGTACCCCATATGTTCGACTTGGATATATTACCACCTGTACACGAGTGTTTGATTTTCTATACGCTATAAATCGTTCAACTAACGCACAAGAAGAATGTATGAAACGAACCTCGTTATCATACGGAAAATTAGCGATGAAAGCAGATGCGTCCCTCGCTGCAATGACTCGAAATCGTACCTTCCGAGACACACATGCATCTCTGATGGGTTGCAAATTGTCTGTCGAACTGCGACGCTGCAGACTCGACGGCCATACGAGGACGTCATACAAACGGCTGGAACGAATAAAGGCAACCATCGGAGGCGGCGCTTCTTCCCAAAATCCTTTAAGGCTCAGGCATCGCATGGTGAGAGGTAGGTGGTCAAAGAGGACAGCGCTGTATGAACCTGAAGTCGCATGCAACGATTCCAGCGCGGGTAGGCGCGCCACGACATCGTCAAGGAAAGGCTCAGGAATATGCCGTAACGCGTAGACCACAAGATGCCGGAGGAGCGTGAGCTGCGAAAGCGATTCCTTGAAGTTATGGAGCGACCGAGACTGTTCGCCGATTGTATCATCCCGGTCAAAGCTATCAAACGCTACATCCAGTCGGGTGAGAGAAGCAGTGAAGCTGCCTATGGGGAAGCGAAACACGAAGGAGCTGGTGCATGAATTGATGGTGAGACGCGTCAATGGGCAAACGGGATCAAAG